TGCTGCTGTGTCTTCCAAGTCATAGGCCGTGATTCATTTGCAAGATAGAATCCTGTCTGCGCTCTGTCTGTCAGCTCTGCCCGGGCTGTCTCTTCCTCATGTCATTCTGACAGCTGGACTCAGGCTTCGATTCTCTTCTCTAACTGCAGCTTCGATGGAGCCCCCTGATGATACCTCCATGTTCAGATCCGACCCTTTGGCTCCGGCCTTGCCTTACAAGTTTTGTTTTGAAAGTGTTCATAGACACAGGCTTCTCCAGAGTGGAGAAGGAAGAGATTGGGCTGGATCAGAATGCACGGACTCTGACCGTGGTCTTAACTGCTCCAGACTGACTTTCTTCTTTACCGGCCGCATGGACTTGGGCAAATACCTTCTGGTCTCATGTCTGTGTCATCATTTGTTGCCTCAATCAAGGAAGAGGGTGGGCAGTAACATTACTGAGGTAACATTACAGGGTGCATAGAGGGTCCCTGCTGCCTCTGGGAAGCCCGCCACCCTCTACTCTGACTTTCTTCATTTGTTTCTTTCAGTAGGAGTGGTTAGGAGAATGTTCAGTTCATAAAGCTAGCCCTCCCTTGTTCAAGGCTAGTGACACTTAAAGCGTTCCTCAACTTCCCTTTTAGTCTGGTTAGCTCCTTCCTTCCAGTCTTATGCACCACCCAGTCCCCCCACTGTAAAGAACTGTATCTCCTCTAGTCAAAGAAAGGAGTGTTTTTAAGTCAATGCCCCTCTCTGCTGCTTCTGCTGTCCTTACCCTCACCTTCCAATGCTTAGTGAATGAGCTCAGCTTCTGCAGAAGGCTCCTTAGATCGTCCTCCTCTCCCCCACCCGGAAGTCCCTAAATGTTTACTGATCGACACCTCACTCCACCCAACTCCTGGCTCTGCTATTTAAATTCTCCTTAGCTAAATCTGAGTCAATCTTCAAATTTACATTTAACAACAAATGATATTTCAAACTCCTTGACTAGCATTGCCAGCCAAAGAAAATATAATGCAATGGATACATATGATTTTAAATATCCCAGTGGCCATTATAGAAGTTAAATAAAGAAGTATTTAAGAAGCCACATAACAAGATTAGCTCAAAAAATCCAAATATAATTTTGATAGATAGTGAACACAAAATTCTAAAGAGATATTTGCACTTTTTAAAGTACACAAAGACCACAATTTCTGATACAGAGTTAATAGTCACAGTACTTTCCAGGTTAGACTATTCATAGTCCAGCTTCTGTGCCAGTGGAGGCTGCTCTCCTGGGCAGTGCAAAGCTACTTGACCAAATTTTTCTGACTCTAACTTTCTGGATAATTCTTGATTTTCATTAACATCTCAGTTCTCTTCTCTTCTGTATCTGCGTTGACCTGCTTCTGTCTCTCTTCACCTTCTGCTGATTGTCTCAGCCACCCAAAAGATCCATTTATATATTCTCTGATTTAGCCCTGCCTCCTCTAAAGACATAGAAGCCAGGACAACCAATCTGGCGGATCATAAGCCCATCAGTTAAGTCAGGCTAGATGGTCGGGACTGAGAAGGGGAGGAAAAGTTTTTGTTTCTTTCTGTATCCTACTGATCGATACTCAGAACCAGTTTCCATTGTGTTTCTGAATGTTTTATTCTTCCTTCCTTCCCTCATGCCTCTTTTGTGGCACTGTTCTGCAGAAGTGCCTCTTGGCTCGACTCCTCACTCATCCTCTCTGGACAGCAACTGGTGCAATTGAAAAGCTTATAAAAAGAACCCTTGGAATAGCCACGCAGCTGTCTGCAGTAATGGCTTGTGGGATGTAACGAATGACTAAGTATCAGAATATTAGGGCATTTTATTTTAGCCCATTTGTGTGTACCCCACAACACAGGAGGCAAACCTGATCTAGAAGGCTGTTCTGGTGTCTGAATGCCTCATGATGAAGAGTAACACGCTAACAATGAGCTACTCCAAATATTCATAACAACTTGTTTCTGTTTCTTCCTGAAATGCATCTGGTCAGGAAAAAAAAAGCATAGATCTAGAGGACCACATGTTTTGAAAGGCGAATATATGTATTGTCAAAGGAGCAGCAGGCTGTGTTCCCCCCACCTGGCTAGCTTTACCCAAAATAATTACACAGGAACTGTATTCTTTTAAACACTGCTTGGCCCATTAGTTCCAGCCTCTTATTGGCTAGCTCTTACATATTGATCTAACCCATTTCTAATAATCTGTGTAGCCCACGAGCTGGCTTACCAGGAAAGATCTTAACCTGTATCTGTCTGGAGTGAGAGAATCATGGCGACTCACTGACTCGGCTTCTTTCTCCCAGAATTCTGTTCTGTCTACTCCACCTACCTAATTTTCTGTCCTATTAGGGCCAAGCAGTTTTCTTTATTAGTTAACCAATGAAAGCAACAGAAAAGATACAAGACCCACCTCCATCAATGTATAAAAGAAAGATACTGATTATCACCAAAGTTTTCTACCTACGAGGCATTGCTCAGTAGGGACCATAGCTTTTGAGGGCTGAAATAGCGTCAGGCAAATCTACAGGAGGAAGCCAGTCAGTGCCATCTAAAAGTTAAAATAAGTGGTTGCATACCCTTAATCCCAGTACTTGGGAGAAGAGGCAGGCAGAGATCTGTGAGTTGGAAGTTCACCTGGTCTACATATCAAGTTCTGGGCCAACTAGAACTATATGGTAAGATCCCTTGTCAAAAAAAAAAAAAAAAAAAAAAGACAAAACAAAGCAAAAAGCAAAACCGAAAACCCCAACAGCCTACTCCCTCCCAGATGTCATCATCCCTGGCATGTGTGGGATGGCTAGCTCTTGACTCACAGATTAAATGGGACCGTCTGAGGCGTCAGCTTCTCACCTGTTTCAGGGAGATTAGCAAACACCTGTTTCCACCCGTTCGCTCATCTTCCATCTTAGCGGCCCCATGATAACACATGCTTGAGATGTCTGCCTCCACCCCGACATTAGCTAGGAATAGAAAGACTCTCTCCCCTCACTTCACAACTCAATAATTCCTAAGAGTTAGTGATAGCCATGAACTCTTTGGGGACAATCCTCAGATCGCCCCACGTGTCACTGGTCCTGTCATAAGAAATTATTTTATAAAAAAGTAAAATAAATTTTATTGCTCTTAATTAAGTGACCTCTGCAAGTGACACTGTGCTTTATCAGATTCTAATTGGATAGCAGAAAAAAAATGGCTTTAAGGAATTGTAAACATATTCATATGTATCTTACAATATAAATATATTTACAGTTTTTTATTTTAAATATACAGATCACGTGAAATATATATAACATAATTTATCGATTTATGAAGAAGGTGTATTTCACATAAAAGTAGCTACAGGATCAGTGTATTTTGTTTGCACTGATAAAGGGCTAAAAGTTGACCAGCTGCAGAATCTCCATTGCCCCATAACTTATTGTCTAGTCTTCCCTGGGAAAACGCTAAGTTGGTCCGAACCTTCTCTTGAGATCAGCTTTGCCACATCCGCTCACTGGTGGTCCTGGGAACCTGAGATCAGGTGAGCCTCTACCCCTGCCATCTGCAGTGTGAGGGACATTTTCAGTTCAGAATGTCAGAGCCTTTTCCTCAGCCTCCTGCTTCATGGCTTCCTTCCTGTGGCAGGAGCTGGGGGAAAGTCCATGGCTGCAGAGATAGCAGGTTGCAGAAAGACACAGTGTGAATTTTGGTTGTACCCACCATTTTGAACAGGCTGCCATTTTTCGTTCTGGAGGTTTGGCAACAGTGTTTCCAGACAGCAAGGGTGAAAGGCTGTGGGTTGCACGAGCCATGGTGATGGGCACAGCATTAGGAGCATCAGTTTTGTGTCCACTTGGGACAGGTCTCTTCCCTGTCTCCGGATAAACTGCTGCGCCTCTCCAAACCCATTTACTTTTTCCTCTACATTTGTTTATATTTGACTGTATTGCTCTTGTTATTGATTACATTTGATTATTGATTATATTGCTCTTGTTATTGATATTGATTACATTTGATTAAATTGTTCCTGTTATGGACTTATTGGGACAAACAAAGATGATGCTCTCAACCCAACTAGCAAAATATCTAATTTATAGTACGGTCTCTTAAACACTAGTCATTGTGGGAATATTCAGGGAATAATACTATACAGAAGCAGATACTACAAATCTAGCTGCAATCCGTTTCATGGATTCAAGGCCTTTATATGTGTTCAGGAGCTGCAAGTCAGAAGTCTCAACTCAAATTATGGTGTCTCTTAAAAACTGGCATCTCTGGAAACGAGCACCTCAGGGACTTAGTGGTAGAATGTTTGTTCGGTTTGTGGGAACCCTGGGTTCAGCATCAACAGTACCCCAAAGTTAATTAACAGAAAAAAATTAAAGCAAGAAAAAATACACATTGCTTTCTTCAAGTTCCGTAATATTTGTTGTTTAGACGTTGTATGGCATGTGTCGTGAATCAGCTACACATGAAACTGAACTGTGCTCTTATAAAGTCAGTGGAAATTTAACACTGTTCCCATTTGGTTTTCAAGGCAGATTTCTACCAGTGACAGCAAACTAAATACTTATGCATTTTCTTTTTTTATGGTAGGAAAAATAATTCCACATATGCTGTTCAATATTTTTAACTGGGTTTTATGTAACTATATTCAGATTCACGTTTATATATAGAAAGAAAGTTATCTTTGAAAACAAAGCAAGGTTTCTGGACCGCATGGGAATGCCCGGCTGCTGCTTTGGAGATAATTCTGATCATTTCCCTTGCTCCATAATCCATGGAGCTGCTAAGTGATCCCTGTGCTTTTCTGGGATTGTTTTGTCTCTTTTTCTCTTCAGCATTTGTAGGCTGAAGTAAAGAGAACATTAAAAACCTAGATGATATTAACTTCATATGTATATATTCGTCTCTGTAGAAAGAAACTGAAATACTTGGTTTTGAAGTATTTTGGAATTATCTCTGAGTTTTAATCATTTATCCCGATCATGTAAGCACTGACGCTTTCTTCTCACCTCTCCCAGGTCACTTGTTGGTTCCAGAAAACAATAAGAGATCTACAGGAACAGAGTCTAGGCTTGTCACTTTCTGAAAACAAGGAGCTAATCTGTAAGCATGAGGACCTGGAAGTCAGAGCTAAGGTAAGACACAGTTGAATAAGTGGGAAATGCAAATAGAACTTCTCTTCAAATATGGTTTGAATCAGCCATTTATACTGGGTATCAAGAGAAAGAACTATTTGCTTTGAATAATCTACTGATTTCATGGAACTAATCATTAGAGAATTAGGTACCACTGCCCACTGACTTCTAGAATAACAGTAAGACTTCTTTTTCTTCTTCTTCCTCTTCCTCCTCTTCTTTTCTTATCCTTCTTGTTCTTGTGTGTGTGCACACACATACACAAATCATAAATACTGTCATGACTATCATGCTATGATGGGTTATATCTCTCTATATGAAACACTAAAACCAAACTACAACAAAAGCAGTTTTAAGTTTCTGATTTCTCACCACGCAAAATATTGGATACACTAAGTTCCAGCTGTATCAGTCAGAACATTGGATACACTAAGTTCCAGCTGTATCATCACTCAGAATATTGGATACCCTAAGTTCTTGCTATATCATTCAGAACATTGGATACACTAAGTTCCAGCTGTATAATCATTCAGAATATTGGATACACTAAGTTCCTACTGAATCATCACCCAGAACATTGGATACACTAAGTTCTTGCTGTATCCTCACTCAGAACATTGGACACACTTTACTCCTCTGTACCACATTTTCATGGGCACCTCTAAAAAAGAATCTTAGGAATTCCTGGGGAATATATGTGTGTAAGCACTTACCTGTAAGTAGTAGTCCCCAAATGTTTCCATCCATCAGGCAAACTTTCAGATGGTTTTTTATGGTAGTTTGAATGTTATTTGCCCTCATAAGTCTGTAGGAGTGGCACTGTGAGGAGGTGTGGCCTTACTGGAGTAGGTGTGGCCTTGTTCAAATATATTACCATGGGGGTGGGCTTTGAGGTCTCCCATGCTCAAGATATGCTCAGTGTCTCCGGCCACTTCCTGTGGGATCAAGGTGTAAGAACTCTCAGCTCCTCCAGCACCATGTCTGCCTGCACGCTGCCTTGCTTGCCACCATGATGATAATGGACTAAACCTCTGAGCTGTTAAGCCAGCCCCAATTAAATGCTTTCCTTTCTAAGAGCTGCCATGGTCTCTTCACAGTCATAAAAACCCTAAGTCAGACAGTTTTCATATGTGAGTTTTCAATAATCTTATTCTTTGAGAAACGATTCAATTTTTTACATGTCCCAAATAGGAAGCAGCACATTGCCTTCTGGACTCATGTTTGTGTGCAGCCATGAGAGGGGACAGGGGATGTCATTTTCAGAGAGAATTGATTGGAAATAAGGCATCTAGTGGGGGTCATTTCTGAACCTCATGGAAGTAACCAGGTTCACAGGGAAGGCAGGCGTCGGTGCTTCCCGCAGTGAGGCTGGCCAGCAGGGAGCTGGATGGCACGGACTGTGGTTGTCAGTCTTGTCAGTTTCTTCTAAGTAAGCCGCAGAAATAGCTCCATTGTTTCCTGCTGGAGTACATTTAAATTGAGAAGTGGAGTAGCTTTTACAGCTTTCAATGAGGTTCCAGAGTGTGCTGAAATAGTTGAGGGTGTTTAAATAGAACCTTGGAGCATGAGTCATTGTTTTAGCTATGCCATTTTTATTTAATATGGAAATGATTTTCCTATCACATATATAACTGAGAAGGGAATAGCGAACATGGATTGTTTTAAGTCATCCTTAGATGGCATCATAAATCAACTTGTTATCCCGAGCCAATGAACAGTGAGATGCCCTTGAACAGGAGCCAATGAGCAGTGAGATGCCCTTGAACAGGAGAGCCTTCTCTGCAGTTGAGAGCCAATGAGCAGTGAGATGCCCTTGAACAGGAGAGCCTTCTCTGCAGTTGAGAGCCAATGAGCAGTGAGATGCTCTTGAACAGAAGAGCCTTCTCTGCAGTTGAGAGTGCATTGCAAACTCTACCTCAGAACACAAGAGAAATGAGGCTGAAGAAAACGCTTCCGGTAACCTTGGTGACTTTAGAGGTGGGTCATAGTCTCTTTAGAGATGGAGGTTATTAATCTGCATCTTCCAGGGAGATTTACAGCCATGCTATGCAAGCGTCCCCCTCAGCTTCCCCATCAAACCTAGAGCCGGAGTCTGTTTTACAATTCCCCTATGAGAATTTGTATGCGTGCTGAAATTTACAAGGGACTTAGAAGTGTTAGTCATGCACGCCCATGCTCGCCCTGGTTTTTTCAGATGAGAGTACAGTCGTTATGAAGGCCTTTATCAGCAGTGGTCTCTACAGTTCTGAGGAGCAAACTGAGAGTGATGTGTAAAAACGTTACCTCCTGTATTTGGGTCCAGTAGTGTTCGCATCCACCAGCTTCAGGACCCAACTCGTCTTCCATGAGTCATCTAATCTGATTTTCCAAGCCATTGAAAATATTTTCCACTTGTGGTTGACTTCATAAACTAGGTTTGTGATCTTGGCCCCGGGTTCCTATAAATAATATTATTAGAATATCTTGTGAAAAGCAGCAGTGCTGTGGTCCCACAGAAACACTATTTAAAGGAAAAAGGCAACGGCGAAGCTTTCTAGTATGGGAAAAGGAAGTACAGGAGAACTTCCTGCAGGTTTATTTGAATAATTTGTGTGAGTGATTACCAGCTATACAGCCACTATATGCTGACGTACCACACTATTTTAATTTGAAAGAAAAAATTGAAATTTGGAAGTGTAAACTCTCTTACTTTGTTCCTATTTCAAGCCATCACAAGCCCTGGCCATTTTGGGTGTTTAGATTGTCCTACAATTTTACGTGAACATTAGGAATGGCCTTCCATTTCTTCAGATAGGGCCCTGAAGATCCTGACAAGTATTTTTACTTTGAATCTCTAGATATTTGGAGGATTATTACTCTCCTAATTTCTTTCTTTTTAAAAATTTTATGTTATGTGTATGGGTGTTTACCTGCATGTATATCTATGTACCGTGGATGCAATGTCCACAGTACCAAAAGAGGGTATCGACTCCCCTGGAACCGGAGTTACAGATCATTGTTTACCACCATGTGGGTGCTGGGAACCAAACCCCAATCCTCTGGAAGAACAGCCAGTGCTCTTAACCACTGGGTCATCTCTCCAGCCTCTAGTGTTGCCATCTTAACACTGTTTAATTTTCTGGTTCATATTCGTAGAATGTCTTTCCATTTATTTAGGCTTTTCCTGGATTTCTCCCCCATTTTCAGCAGTGATAATGTTCAGTGCCCTAATCTTGTACCCTTTTCATTAAATTTCTTCCTATTTTATTATTCCTTATATTACAATAAATCAAACTGTCTTCTAATTTCCTGTTCATATTGGCCATTGTTAGTCTATAGAAACAAAGAAGATGTGGGGGTGGTAGTGGATTAGCTCTGAGAGGCTGTAGGTACCCGACTGGATTTTCTACATGTATGATTATGTCATACACAAACCTCTTTTACAGTCTTTGTTATTTGTTTCTTACTCATCTGTCATGGTAGTTTGAATGTAATTGGCCCCAAAATCTCACAGGGAGTGACACTATTAGGAGGTGTGGTTTTGTTGGAGTGGGTGTAGTCTTGTTGGAGGAAGTATGTCACTGTGGGAGAGAGCTTGAGGTGTCCTATGCTCAGTTGACTTCCTGTTGCCTGCAAGATGTAGGACTCTCAGTTACTGCTCCAGCACATCTACCTGCACACTGCCTTGCTATCCACCATGATGAATAAGGGAATGAACTTCTGAAACTGTTAGCAAGCTACCCCAGTTAAATGTTTTCTTTATAAGGGTTTCTGTAGTCATGATGTCTCTTCACAGCAATAGAAATCTTAACTAAGACATCTGTCTCCACAGAGAGACAGAGAGAGAGAGAGAGAGAGAGAGAGAGAGAGAGAGGAGAGAGAGATTGTTTTTTTTCAGAGTACTGTAGACCAGAGATTCTCCAGCTACAGTAGGATTTGATGTATCAGGCTTAGGATGTGGTCCCAACAGTGCTTTCATGTGTAGCAAGCTCCTATGTAATGCTGTGATGTTGGCCTTTGAACCATACGTTGGAAGTTAAAGATATAAAGAAAAACAAAACAATAACAATAACAAAACAAATACAACCAAGCAAACAAAGAGTGGAATCAAAGACAATGTAAGTTGTAGAGTCCCAAAGACATTATACATTATAAGTTGTAGTCATGGTTAAAACCTAGGTGTAAATTAATCTCTCTCTCTCTCTCTCTCTCTCTCTCTCTCCTCATCCATCCACGCACCCACCCATCTATCCATCCACCCACCCATCCACCCATCCATCTATCCATCCATCTTAGATTGATAGATATGTGTATGAATGTTTGCTTGGATGTATATATGTACCCCTTGTGTGTAGTTGATGCCTGCAAATAACAGAAGGTGGCATCACATCCCTCAGAGTTGGAGTTACAGATAGCCGTGAGCCACTGTGTGGGTGGTGGGGACTAAATTCAGCCCTCCGCAAGAGCAACAAGTCCTCCTAACTACCAAGCCATCTCCCCAGCCATGACTATATAAATCTAAATAGATCTCTAGTATGGACAAGATTGCCCATGTGTAGGACTTGATTTCCTTTGGCTTCTTGTCCCCTCCCCCATCTTGGACCCATTAAACAGGTGATTGAAAATCAAAAGGTAAGTATGTGAGATTTCTGATTGTTTCTTTAAAAAATATGTAGATGAGGAGTGGGGATGACCTGGAAGGAGTTGGAGGAGGGAGAAGCATGATCAGAATATATTTTTTGAGTGAAAGCATATGATTACTACTCTCTGTAACTACCACTGAAATGGAATATTTAGTATAAAGGAACTACTTGTATATTTCTTTGATGCTTCAGGAGGTGTGGGGCAATACAGAGTTCAAATAACCAGTTTTCAGGTTATCCAAATATTTTCTTAGTATTTCACAAGCATTGGAGTGTTTTCTTCTCATTCCTGCATATGTTAATTTACACAGAGAAACTCAGTACTTTGCTGTTCCGTCTTTCGTCCTTCCCTGACTTCCTTCCCTGAAGACAGGTACA